TGTTTGGCGGGTCCGGGCTGGGGATTCGAACCCGCCACCTTAGGTGTATGTGGCTGGCGCCTTAGCCTGTTGAGCTATAGGCGCCGAGCCCTGAATTATTTTTAATACCTTTTCTATTAAAAAATAAAATAAAATTTTTTAGTACTAAGTCAATTTAAAAATTTTTAATATACTCTTGTTCTTAGTTCCTACTAGTATATACATATAATTCAAACAAACACCAATAATAGGTCTTAAATTCTACCCAACAAGATTTCCATCTAATTGTGCATCTCCTTTCTCTTCAACTAGATCTTCAACTTCTAGATCTGGAAAGGAGATATTTCCCAAATTCACTTTCTAGTCTATAATTGCACACTACATGAATTATCAACCTTCTATTGATTTATTTACTCAAAAATTTTATGTTCCTTTTGTTTTTGTTTTGTTTTATGTTGCCCAGGATGGTCTCAGACTCCTGGGCTCAAGTAATCCTCCTGTCCAAGCCTCCTGTGTGAGTAGCTGGGATTACAGGAGCGAGCCACCATGTCCAGTTCATTTGCCAGAATTTTTATTGGCATATATTAGTTGTGAAAATAATACATGTACGTGGCAAAGTTTCAACCATACAAAAACATAGAAAATAAAAAACAAAGCCATCCCTGCCCTGAGGTAAGTCATCAGTTCTCACCTTGTCCCCTTCAGCTACCTGACAGATGACCTCTCCAGTGGCAGGATTGACTGTGGGGAATGTTTTCTTGCTGACAGAGTCATGCCATTCATTGTTTATGAAGATCTACAAAGAGAAGGAAAGAAGTTCTCAGAACCAGCTCTCAACCTAATACCACCAATTTTTATTGTTAAAAAAAACGCAGAACAAATATTACAAGAATTCTCTTTGGAGTGGTGTAGCCAAGAGATGAAAAGCACCAGCCTTGAAGATAATCCATGTGGAATTCCCACACTGCCAAGTGACTCTGGGTAAGTCATTTAACCTTTCAGTACTTTGGTTTCTTTCTTTTTTTTTTTAATTAAATCATAGCTGTGTACATTGATACAGTCATGGGGTACAGTGTAGTGTTTTCATATACAATTTGAAATATTTTCATCAAACTGGTTAACATAGCCTTCATGTCATTTTCTTAGTTATTGTGTTAAGACGTTTATATTCTACATTTAGAAAGATTCACATGTACCCTTATAAGATGAACCACAGGCATGATCCCACCAATCACCATCCTTCTACCCATCCTCCCCACCTCCCAGTTCTTTAGTTTCTTTGAAAAAATGAAGAGAATGCTTCTACCTATTCTAGTTATCTGTTACTGTATAACAAATCACTCCAAAACTCAGTGTTTAAACTGATCTATAATCTCTCACAGTTATGTCACCCAAATAGGCTCATTTGGGCAGGTTTTGCTCATGTGGCCCCAATTATGAGGGTGGCTGGGGCCAGAGTGATCTGAACTTAATAGGGCTGGATGAACATGATGGCATCTTCATTGGTCTGGTACCATGTGACTACTTGGGGTTCCTGACTGCACAGCTGTCTCAGGCTTCCCCAGACAGTGTTCCAAAAGCCCTAGGAAGAAGCTAAAAGGCTTCCTAAGACCTAGCTTCAGAAGTCCCATGGCCTCATTTCTGCCACCAAATTCTGTTGGTCAAAGTGAGTCACAAGCCCAGTCTGGATTCCCAGGTAGAAGAGAGAGTTCTCTCCTTCTGCCTGAGAGCAGTAGCAGAGAATTTGCAGTAACCTTTCTGCTAGTACACTGCCTCACAAGGTTGTCATGAGAACCAAATTAGATTATTTTTTCATCCATTCAGTAAATGTGCAGTATAAACCTGAGACAGGTCAGGTGTGCTCTAGAGCTGAGGAAAAACCAACATGGACCCTGCTCTCATGGTGCTGTCTTTTCTGGGGTACAGAAAGTAAAAAAAGCAATCAAATACATAAGACAACCACTATAGACTATAATGTTAAATGCAAATGAGTAAAACAGGATCCAGAGACAGTGACAAAGGGGGCAAATAAAGAACTTGGGCTTCAGTTTGAAGCTATTCCCTTCAGACTTGGGAAGCTGATCTCTTGGGGGTCTCCACAGTCACTTCACCAGTGCGAGGCAAGGGCCACACTGAGGTAAAGGGAAGGACATTTGGCTTTCTGCCTGCCTTTCTCAAGGGATCTCTTTGGCTCCAGCATCCCAGAATTGCTTGATCCTAGCCTGAGACCCCAAAGAATCATATGTAGTCACTCTAAGCCATAGTCTATGACCATAAACAAGACCAAGCCAAGTGAAGCCTGGAGCTTGCTTCACACCAGGGACCCAGGAGGGAGAAGGCATGGTCAGGCTCAGCAGTCAAAGGCAGAAGTTCAAGACAAGAATCTCCATGAACCCAGACTCTTTGCTTCTAGTTTTTTAGCTTGTTTGTTTTTGTTTTTGAGATAGGGTCTCACTGTCACCCAGCTAAGTAGAATGAAACCATCATAGCTCACAGCAACCTCAAACTCCTAGGCACAAGTGATCCTCCTGCCTCAGCCACTCAAGTATCTGGGACTATAGACACTGACCCCAACACTTGGCTGACTTTTCTCTTTTTCATAGAGATGGGGTCTTGGTCTTGCTCAGGCTGGCCTCAAACCCCTGAGCTCAAGTAATCTTCCTGCCTTAGCCTCCTAGAGTGCTAGGATTATAGGCCTGAGCCACCATGCCCAGCACCTCCTACTTTTGACACATAGTACAAGGCCTCCATGACTCTGGGTCTTTGTTTCTTCATCCACAGAATGAGAATCCCCGTAGTACCCCCTTCATAAAGTGGTGCATGCTGAACCTAGCATAGAGCAAGTGCTCGATGCTGTAACAGTGGTGGGGTGATGACCAAGTGCCCCAGGAAGGAGCCAGCCAGGTAAGGGCCTAGCAGGGCTTACATTCCCAGGCTAAAATTTGTTCTGCATAATCCCTGCAGTGGAATCCACAATAAAAGAGTCTTGCCATTTGGCAGAACATGGGTAAACATCAACCAGATATTTAGAAACATGTCTGTGTGGTTTCATACTTGTCCACTGATAATTTTTAGACAAAAACACCTTTGTTTCTTCCCCCTGGAGGGCTAGGTCATTTCCATTGGGGGTGGGGGAGAATGGGTGTGACAAAAAAGAGCTCAGGCTTGAAGCCAGGCAGATCTTGGACCAAAGTTCGACTCTGCAATGCCTGGGCAGAGGGCCCTGAACACGTGTGCCCTTCTCTAAGAAGCGGCCTTTTTTTTTTTTTTTTTTTTTATTGAGACAGAGCCTCAAGCTGTCACCCTGGGTAGAGGCAGTGGCATCACAGCTCACAGCAACCTCCAACTCCTGGGATCAAGTGAGTCTCTTACCTCAGCCTCCCAAGTAGCTGGGACCACAGGTGCCTACCACAACGCCCGGTTAATTTTTGGTTGCAGCCATCATTGCTGTTTGGTGGGCCTGGGCTGGATTCGAACCCACCACTTTAGGTGTATGTGGCTGGTGCCTTAGCCACTTGAGCCACAGGCACCAAGCCATGAAGCGGCCTTCTACTCCTGATAAATGCGGAGCAGAGGGAAGCTCCCAGGGCTGCTGGAAGACCTACAGGCAGGAGCGTGTGGGAGTGGGTTTTGTTGATCTTGTATTCCCTGCCGCCCCAAGGAGAATGTCCACCTAGCCACCGGCACACCACAGAAACGGCATTATTAGATACTCATTATGGGAAGCCCCATACCAGTTCTATGACTTTAGACTTTAGCAAACCTAGGTGAACTTTATCCTCTGTACTTCACAGCAGAGGGCAAACTACTTGCTCAAGGTCACAGAGCAGTGAGCACAGAGCCAGGATTGGAACCCAGGTCTCTGGGACTCCCAGGCCTGTGCTCCTGGCCCACTTGTACCAACTCTAACCTCTGATCAAAGCCCAAGTCTGCCTTCCAGGAGGTCAGAACTCTTCTGAATCTCCACCTTTATAATTTACCTATCACACCATTACAGGTTGATTTCACATTTTTATTCTGGATGTTGTAAAAGGCACCAACCTCAAAGCCAGAGAGATCTGTGCTTGGATCCTGACTCTACCTCTCACAGACTGTGACCCTGGGCAAATCCTGTCCCTTTCTGGATTCTTTATCAAATACCTCCAGGGGCTGACGTACAGTTCCTCAGCTAAGACTCCACCCACAGTTGGTCATCTCAACATTGCTCTAGATCTTGCAGCTCTCAAGTTAAGAGATTCTCAGCTGTAAGGGCCAGGTCTGTATACTTCTTCCTGTGTTGTTCCCTGAGCTGCAGCATCCTAAATTAATTTGTGCTGAAAGCTTTAACTTTATTTTGCAAAGATCAGGAATTGTGATAGGGAAAGGTGGGCCAGTCTGGCTAAACCCTCACACCCCTACTCCTTCCTCCCTGGGCAGAGCACCAGTCATCCTCTTCCATAGCATTTGCCTTTCGAAACCCTGAATTTTCTGAGTCACTCTTCACTGTTGAATCAGGCCAAACTTTCTATAATTTCTCTTCTCTTCTCAACTGATAAGATAAACTCCAGTTTGCCTAGCAGGACCCTGGAAGCTTCCTCTGATCTAGATTTCCCATTTCCTTTCTCCTAAAGCCAGACTTGGTGGCTCCCCTCCTCAGCAGAGGGGCCGGGCAGCAACTGTTCCCACACTGAGCCTCTGCCAAAACTCTGGCTCAAGAGAGCAGAGTTTAACAGAACTCCTCTTGAATCAACACAAGGGCAGACTCTAGGCCAAATGCTTTATAACCTTCTGGTGTGAAACCCAAAGCTTGTCTTACATAACAGGCTTAGCTCTGGCACTCTTGGGGGGGAGGTGCCTAGCTCACACTTCCTCTTTATAGTTTCAAGTAGAACGACCCCAGGGGTTGACACTTTGAAACTGGACTGTTAGCAAAATGCACAAAACTTTTCCATCAAAATCTCTCATTTTGTCCCTGAGAATTTGAGAGAGATTTAAATAAATCTCTAATTTCTACACAGTGTAATAAGTACTTCTCACTTGGTTTTGTAAAAGTTGGTTTCATTCACGCGTGCGTTTGATTAACTTTAACCTACGGGCAGCACCATGCCAGGCACTAAATCAGACTGTGGAGCCATGGCTCCTTGGAGCCCACGTCCTGGCCAGGAGCGGCCAGTAAACAAGGAAACTAAGGAAGTGACTGGGGTCAGGTGGCACCACTAAGTGGGGACCTGAAGGGTGACTGCAAGTACAAGCTTAGAGCTGGAGGAGCCGACAGGGCCCCTGTGGCTGTAGACAGTGTATCAAGGGAAAGCAGGAGGCGCTTGAGTCTGCTGTCCTGGGGAGAGCAGGACAGACACCCTCTCGAGTCTGCTGTCCTGGGGAGGGCAGGACAGACACCCTCTCGAGTCTGCTGTCCTGGGGAGGGCAGGACAGACACCGCAGCGTCCTTTCTGGCTTTCCATTTTCTGACATGCTCTTCACAGTTTATCTTGGACCTTAGTCCACCTCATTATTTTAAGCAACATAACATTCCTCAATATGGACAGACTACAGTTTAACCATTTTAGGACAAGTAACACTATTCCAGCCATCTGTTGTGGCAAGTATGTGTTGTCCAGGCTGGCCTTGAACCCCTGGTTTCAAACAACCCTCCCACTCCAACCTCCTGAAAAGCAGCAGTAGAAGGCTAAGTTATGTTCAGTGGCTCTGATTTAAGGAGGCAGGACTTCTCAGTTCAAACTCGGATTGTGAAAGAATCACAATGCTCCCTAGGAAATCCCCAACCCCTGGAATTCCTTATTGTCCCAAAGACTGAAT